CTTGCGGCCTTGCTCTGTTCATTTGAGAGCGAGAACCAGCAGGGATTTGAGTCTGTGTGGTCTCTCGTGGCTTGCTGATAGCAGAGATACAACCTCTTGAGTACATCTCGGACCTTTTTGGTCCAGACTGCTGCAATTTGGGTTTTTCTTGAAAGGCAGGCTTTGTGGGTGGCGTAAAGATGTTTGTCCTGATCACAGTGGATGCGTGAAACTTCCAAGTTGGTTTTTTTTTTAGGAATGAGCATGTTGCTGAAGACAAAGACAATCTACTCAAGTGTGTCCTTCATTGTGCTAAAGTAAGCAATGATGGATTCGAGCAGGTCATGTCAGGAGCAGGTTGATCCTTACTCGTGCATCTCTGCAAGCCGAGCTCTGTCTGTAGGATGCATCCATCCCATCTAAACTCTTTACAGAGCCAAAAGTCGTTGGCTGTGGTGGGTGTGGGCATGGCGGACGGTTTTGTGGGTCTGCCTCCTCGAGCTCTAACTAGTTACTCTTCTTTTCCTCCAGTGCTGTCTTAAACCAGGAGCTCAGGACGTTGAGAGACAGAGGTACCCAGCTGTCTGCCTCTCCGTAGGCAATACTGGAGAGTTTCTTCTCTCTAGATGTGTAGTCCGATTAGCATCAAATCCCTGAGAAGGGTATGAATAATTTTATTCTTGGCTCTCTAATAGCGGCAACCGATGGAGCATCTTCGCGGGTGGCTATTTTGAGACGCAAAGTGTAGCTCGTTGTCATTGTGGGGAACTTCATCGTCTCTCGGCACTGCGTGTCGCCGCATGACTTCCTCACCAGGCTGGGCCACAGCTCGTTGTGCTCTGGTTTTGTTCCCTTTTGGTCGCTGGCAAAGTCCTGCTTCACCTAGGTTGAACTCTACAATTGGCTAGAGTGCTTCTGTAGGTAATTCCTGTCCAGGCAAGAGCTTTTTTTTTAAATATATTTAATTGTGATTTAGAAATCGGCAGTGGCAGAAAATCCACTGCATTTTTTTTTTGTTAGGTTCTATCTCTGGCTAACTAACCCAACTTAAAAACATGTGCCTTGATTGACATCCCGTATCTGTGTCTTCTAGGGTGACTTTGCTTCTTGAAGTCACTGTCCAAAGAGATCTCTTGTTTCCTATTGTGATCAGATGATCAGTTTGTCTGTGTTCCCCCTCAGGACATTCCCATCACTTTCCTTGCTCCATGCTGGAGCCAAGTCCTTCAGGAACTCCCCGTGTGTTCGGGCACATCAGGATACGATTGAGGCTTGGCTTTTTGGGTGCAAAACATGATTTATTTTGACTGCTGGCATGTCCCCGAGTGCTGTGATCTGGCAGACGTGCAGCCACCTGTGGGGCTGGAGCCTTTGCAGACAGGTCCGTGGCATCTCCTGCAGTGCACGCCTGCAAAATTTTAAGGGTGGGTTTGTTCGAGGCTGTTCGTATTTTGCAGAGGAGCGTTACAATTTGGGTGTCTCTTGTTGGAGACGTGTTGAAGTCGTTAGCTGCCTTTCTGCAGCCCTGTATGGCACTCTCTCAAGTTTAAGGTGCTCTTTTCCTTTTATTCTGGATAGATGACAGAAATAGGGCTTCTTGTGGCGAGATCCCATGTAAGTCTCATGTTCTGCATTGCATGTGTCCTTTAACCTAAAAGTTCATGAGCTAGCAAGTTGAGCAGAGCTATTGGACTTCTGTAGTCAGTTCTGTTTCCCTGCACCCCCACCATCCAACTCAGAAGTAAAGACTGCAAGACCTTTAGTCATCCCTACGTACCCTACAACCACTCCAGGCTTCAAAAGCCGTTTTGTTTTTTTTTTTTTTTTGTCCCAGTGTAGTTTCATCTCGTGTTACTTGCAAGTATCTTGGCACGATGAGGGAGAAAGCTATTTGATATTGCTGTTCTTAATTTGGGATGTGAAGCCAAGAGCTCCTCTCTCCCATTAAGTAAAAGAGCATCTTCTGAGATGATCGTTGTGCTAAGTGGTGCTCTGTGCCGTCGGGACCCCTTCTAGGCCAGCTGCTATCATTTAATAGACTTAAATAGATTAATGTGGACATGCCTGTAGGCCACCTAACCTCTCTGCGGAGCCCGTAGCGTCTCACTGAGTAAGAGTACATCTTGGATCAGGAATCTGGAGTTTGTTGTGTTGGACCGTCGCGGGGGTTATACGTAAAAAGCTCGCTGTGGTGTGGTTCTCCCTCATCTTATTTTTTTGCTGGGAGGAGGACTGTGTCTACAGCATTTCTCAAAATCGCTTCCTAAGGCTTTTCTGACCGGTGTTTCTGATCGTCGTGCTGCCGTTCCTGCAGAGTAGTCGATTCTCCTGTGGCTTCACTTGTAGAGAAGATGAGGGCTCATAAGTTAGAAATAGTGAGAAAATCCACGCTGAGCTTTTTGACTGTCTCCTCCTTTGGATTTCATAATTATAAATTAAGCGGGGATAATCTGTCTTCGTATTGCAGGCAGTGTTGCAGAACAATAAGCAAAAGCCTCCGTCTCTTCCAGTCTGTGCAGTCACTGGGGAGTTACCAGGTCTGTTTTCAGTTACTTGTCCTAAATTTACTGGTTTCTTGTCTATCTGTATCAATATATGTATGTGTACTTTAGGAACCACGGAGCAGGAGTTGAGCTGGACACCAGGAGGAATAGAGGAGGTGCGTAAGAAGAAAAAAAAAAATAAAAAAAGATTTTAAATCTTGGCGGTCAGCATAACCTGCTGGGAGAAAGGTGTCTGAACCATTGAGTGCTACAAAATGTCCAGGGGAGGTTGCCCGAAGTCCGAGCAATTATTTAGGTCTTACCGGGGTCTCTGGAGAAAATCATTGTGGGAGGTGCAGGCAGATGCAGGGGGAAGAGCCATTGATTTGGTCCACCTCACCCCTGCCACGCAGAAGCCTGTGGGCATCCTTGAAACGGAGCTGACCCGTGTTATTGGGAGGTGAAGATCGCTTAGAAACATGGTAGAGACTGCCTGTTGGAGAAACTGGGGAGTGCCTCCAAGAAGAAGCAGCTAGCAGGAATCTTGATTCTTCAGGAAACAAGACCTAAGGAGCCACCAGCTGCTTCACCGCAGGCCTTCCGGTGCTTTTTGAAAGCATCGAATTTGAGATTATCTTACTCAAATTTTAGGTTATCTGCCACCAGAAGTGGAGGTAAAAGGTGGCTCATGCAGCCAGGACTGGAAGCATCTAGGCAGTAACCTCAAAAGTCCTCTTGACTTGCAAGAGTAATGAGCAGCGAGAGTATTGCTCATTTATTTTTGCCCCCTTTCTGCGTTGCTCCCTTAAATCTTGTACTAGTCTCCATTAACTTGATGCTAAATTATTTTCATGGTAAATATAAGCCAGTTTGCAGCCTGGATGAAATAATTAATTACTACTAGGCTACAACCCAGTGTGAGATACTCAATAACTCCATTGATAGGGAGAGGTGTTTGAAGGAACATGCATAAAACAGAGCAAATGGCTGTAGATGTCGAGTGTCCCCAAGAAGGCTTGGCCAAGAGTATCGATGGGTTTTGGTTAACTGCACTGGAGAGGGTTTGTTTAGCTTAAAGGCTGCTAATAAAATCAGCTAGAGGCTCTAAATCTGTGCCTAACTCTGATGGATAAGCCGGGACAGATGTAGGAACTGAGGTCTGGAGAATATATTTTAAAAAAAAACTGACTTGGGTGGATTTTAGAAAGAGTCTAGGAGCGAAACAAGAGTTTGTCCGTATCGCTTGGTGAGATTTGAGCTGAAAGGAGAGCAATTGGGAGGGAAAAAGCTAGGCAATGCATCCTCCAGTGCGCTTTTCAGGACCTCGATGTTCCCAAGGGGTTCTTGTTGTCAAATTTTAACAATCAAATTTGTCCCCCAAGTCCTAGGGAACCCGGTTTGCCTGCAGTGAATATTGAATATTTCTTGGCCGGGTCCTTGGTTCCAGGTTGCCGTAGCCGGTTGGTTTTTTATCCGACTTGCAGATGAAAACTTGAAATTTGATGGTGTCCAATTTGATGGCAGAATCGGGAAGGTTTCCACCTTAAACCACTGAATAATTGTGGTCTTATTGCTGCCTGTGTGTTTATGTGGG